GCGCACTGCGGCCCCGGAGCGTAAACCTCGAGTTCCTTCAAATGCCCCACGGCAGAGAGAAGGGAGGAAAGGGACAGCGGAATGAAATCGGATTTCCGCAATGTCACGTTTAAAGCGTGTTTTGTTAATGTGAGGAGAAAGCCCGTGGATTTATGTACGAAAGAAATTCTTCCCTGTGAGGGTGCTGAGGTGCTGGCACAGGTTGGCCATCCCTGCAAGGGATGAAGCACAGGATGGAGGATGGGGTTTGGTGCAACCCGGTCTAGTGAAAGGTGTCAGGAGGTTGGAATAAGATGATCTGTAAGGCCCTTTCAATGATTAATCGGTAGTTTAAGTTAAACAATTTAACGAAAGATTCATATAGATTTACTATAGCCATAAAAGTAACTCCCTTATAAACCTAATGTACTTACAAATTGAAAGTACTTAATCTAGGAGAGCAACACTCACAGTACACTTGCTATAGCATATTCACACTTGCATGCACACATACCTAAAGGGGTGTGTACAGGATATACACCTGTGAAAAATTCCCCTGAAGTTCAAATGCCTTTGCAGCTTCTCAACAGGCAAAGGATTGAGCCTTGAGGAGTCAGGCTATCAGCCCAGGATCCATCATTGGCACTTGCTGGTCCTCCAAGTACAACAAATTTGAGTTGTCTAGCCCACTCGGGGAGATATGGGTCACAGCACTCTGCAGTCCAGGAGAGCTCAAAAGATCTCACTCAGTACTGCTGCTTACAGGGCTGCAACAGAACAGGCTTTAAGTCACAGTAATTGTCCATACTGGCTGCAATTCGGTTGGTAATTTTCTCTAGAAGTTCCACCTGGGTTGTTATTCAGGCAAGAAAACTAAGTTTCCAAGGCTGTTCATTAAAAAGCAGGAGCTTGTTAGCCAGTACTAGTTCCCGGGAGCAGACAATGTTTCTGATAAGCTCCAGAGGAACTTGGCCCAGGTGCTGTTTAAGGTTGAGACCTAACGAACATTTCCGAGATCACAGTGCAGCCTGAGGAGGTGGGGGATGCACCACCACACCATAAAGGTCTGACTCACCTATATTCATTTACTTCACCCCCTGTATAACTTTTCTTCACTTTTCTAGTAGATGCACAGAGGGTAAAGCGACACCCATTTGCTCAAGCTGTTGGCTCTAGTTACATTTCGCTGTTTTGTGCACATTCAAGATGTGTTCACAAAGAAAATTCAGCAAATTTTTCTGGCTGAAATAGGAAACATCATAGTATGATTTAGGGAAGGCTTTGATTTTTGTTTAAATTCCATGTGAATAAAAGACATTACACTTTTAGCTAACAAAAAACAAATACCAAGAACATCCCATGTATTTATTTGAAACCAAGTACACCTCTACCTTTAAATTTCACCAACTTGGCAGACTGAGAATCCCTTCAAATCTCCAGAAGTGCAGCGCATTGGCATAAGGAACAGATGGCAATCTCAGAAAACTATTTATTATTATTAGAGCAACAACCTGGAAGAATTATCTTTACAAATTTGTCGAGTTCCATCTGAAAATTTTCTCAATTATTCTCACAACTTGAAGAAACTTATGCTTAAGAACTCTTTCAAAAATTTACTGCAATGAAATTTACCCCCCGAACCAGGTTCCCTTCTTCATCATTGCACACCATCGTTTTAAACAATTATTCTCTATCAGATTTAGCTCTCCCAGTCGCATCTGATATAGAGGCTTACAACTCCCTTCACTGTTTCTGTTTCCATTTTGAGCCTCTTCTTTTGAATTTTTCTCCAAATTAAACAATCAGAATTGCACAGTCATTCAAGTTAAAACTTCTCCAACCTTGTGTAACAGTTAGTATTTCCCAGAAATGCCTCTCTTTATTCACAGAATGTTCTTCTTTCTCACAACTGTATCAGGTGGTTACCTCAATCATTCCAAGATCCGAATCACTCGTTCCCAAATGGTGACTTCCCAGCTTGTAGCAAAAACATCTGTAGCCACCATGGTTCAGGCACACTTCTCTGATTTCACTGCAGTGGCAAGAACTGGAACACTTGAATATCTTTGCTGATCTGGCCTTAAATGTATCTATTCATGAGTTTCAATCCACTCTTGGAAAACTGGGTTCCAAATCACAGAATGGCTGCAGGAATTCTGGAGGTCATCTTGCCCAAGCCCCTGCTCAGGCAGGGCCACCCAGAGCTGGCTGCCCGCCCAGATTCATATCCAGATGTCTTTTAAATCACCCCAAAGAGAGAGACTCCACTACGTCTATGGACAACCCATCTCCTACGTTACCAGAAAAGGTCTGCAAGATATTTCTAAAGAAAAGCATAAATTTGAGAGCAGTAAAAAATGCAGTGTGAATTCCATGTGTAGCCTCTAAATTAAGCTACAGGTTTGTTCTGCTGCTGAATGGACTGAGCTGTAACATCAGAGGACAGTTCACACCGCGCCATTACTGCTGTCTTTCCTTGCACAAGAGGGTAATGCTGCTACCAAAACCACTGAACATATCACAATCAGTGTTGTTCACTCAAGAGTTTGTAGCACTGCATAACTAAACAAGGATTAGTCTAGATTTGAATATAAATTAGAAGAAGCATTCATCTGCCTCCACCATACCCTGTACAAACTGCTGTTTGGTACAAGTAGTTCTTACGCATGGTATTTTACATGAACAGTAAAGCTCTGGAACAAAACAAATTTAACAGTTCAAAATACTGCTTAGATTTTCAATGAATTTGAAATTATTAGCAGGTTCTTAAATAACGGAAGTTCTTTGGAAAATAGGATGTTGTCTACTTTAAGAAACAAAGAACACAGAAACTATCACCCTAAGAAAAGGCATTTCACACTAGATTAACATTACTACATTCACACAGAAATTAATCTAGTATTCAGTATCATAAAATATATGATTCAGGACATTACCATTTCTGTCAGACTACTAAAAAACCTTTATCAAAACCACAAACAAAATAACTGCCTAGGAAACCTTTCATACATACAGATATATAGAAAACATTTTCATACCACAGTTATCCAGGGATGACATGAATAGTTTTTCTCTAATTTTGTGAGATACTATTTTTTTCTCTTATAAATATTGCAAAAGGACATGGGAGTAGGAAAGGCAACTTTCAGCACACCAGAGGTAGCATTAAGCCTCCACAGACACTGATAATTTTTAAACGAAAAATTATTACTATAAAATACAACATGCACTTCCCTCCCTTTAAACAATCATTCAGTTAGAAAAAAAAAGGGGGTTTTAAAGTAATTTTTTACAAGAAAATAAGTGATACAGAATAACTGCTAAAACTGATGAACACTGCCCAAATCCTAACTAACCTCATGGTATTAAGCAGTTACTCAGGCATGAGACTGTGTCTTCAAGACCTTTAGCACAGCCTGTGCTAGGACTGAAGCTCCCAGAAATACCCAAAACAAACTAATATCCCAAGTTTGACTCTGGACCATAATGCCGGATGCATCCATTACCAGCCATTGTTATGGGCACAGCAGAGGAATGTAAAGTCATGAACAAATTCAGAACACGCAAACTTCTCCAGAACGGAGTGCAAACCTGCAATTCCCAACCTCATATTCCAACCTTGTGCTGCTGCTTATGCTTTTCTAGCAGTTTTTTGGTAGGTAGAGACACATTACACATTGCACATTTGTGCTTTTTTTTGTGTGTTTTCACATGTTTTTGGAAAGCATATTTATCTGCTGTGGAGTATTTACACCTCCTGCAGCGTAGCTTCAGGTGAGTCAGCAAGTGGCGGTTCAGGTGACTCGAGGTGCGGAAAGTCTTCATGCACTGACTGCACCTGAATGGCCTCTCCCCCGTGTGAATCCTCATGTGGAACTTTAAGTTTCCATTGTGGGCTGTGCAATAGTCACACTCCTCACACCTGTACCTTTTGAAAGGTGACTGATTGCACTCGCACAGGCAGCCAGGAGAGGAGCTTTTCTCAGCAGAGTGTGAAGCCAGATGCTGCTTCAAGGACAGCCATTTGTTTGTCGAGTAGTCACAGTTCCTGCACTTAAAATGCTCCATGTTGAAATGTGTGATTCCATGTCGTTTCAGGTGACTGGAAGTACGGAACTTCTTCTGACAAACAGAGCAGCTGTAAGGTTTCTCACCTGTGTGAGTTCTTATATGGAGTTCGAGGTTGCTTAAAATATAAGTAGCATAGTCGCACTCTGCACACTGATAAAATGGTTTCTGACTTTGTGCTAGCAAATTACTGTTTTTGCCCCTCTGAACACCTGGCTGTACTCCACAGACTTGTGAACCAAGTAAGGAGCTCTTTAAATCTTCTGAGGAAGCAAAATCTCTTTCTGGACACAAACCTCCATGCATTTCATGATGCAGTTCAAGATTCTCTAAATACCTCTCTAAATGGAGGTTTTGGCCAAACTCATGTCCATTCTTTACATGAAGGAGACTGTGTTTCTGCAACTGGTTTGATGTTTTAAATGTCCCATTACATTCGTTACACATAAATGGTCTTTCATCCGTATGTACCTTCAGGTGCAGCCTTAGGTTGTTCTGAACAGTGGTAGCATAACTGCAGTGCTGGCAGTTGTATGTTTTGAATGCAATTACATTGGAAGGACACATATCCTTCAAGTTTTCCGTGACATTGAGACATGCACCATCATCTTGAATTCGTGAATGAGAGGCTTTGGGGCTCAAGAGTGGTTCTTCCTTGCAAATGCCAGTGTCTATTTGGCATGAAGTCAGAGGAACTTCTGATCTATTCCCAGTAATAGCCAGACTGCTGCTTTCATGGCAGTTTTCAGGGAACTTCTTCTGAGGGCACATTTTCTTATTATCCTGCACATCACCTGCTCTCTCAATGTCTACTTCTGAAGCCACAATACCCTCACTGACACAATCATTTGCTCTGCCAAAAACAGAGAGAGAAATATGGCCCTGAGAATCACTGTCAGGTTTGCATACTTTGCTTTTACGATACTTATTGCTCTGACTCATATAACCCTTACCCTTTGACCGTTCACAAAATGTCTTATGAGGGCTGAGATGTTCTCTAGCGTAAACCACCACATCACATTCACCACACGCATAATTATTTAAAGGTCTTGGAGTTCTCTTTCTTCCATCTACGCAGTCGATGGGCTGCTGTTGGCACATTTCTGTCTGTTTATGTAACCTCCTGTGTTTCCTTAAAGCCGAAATGGTGGTGAACCCTGACTGGCAGAGCTTACAGCAATATGGTTCAGCTCGTGTGTGGATGTAGCTGTGCCTCACTATGCTTTTAAGATAGATCGTGAAAAAGGTGCAGAACCTGCACTGGTACAGAGCAGACCCAGCATGCCAGTGCATGTGAGTTAACAGGAAGGATAACTTAGTGCCGGAGTAATCACACTGAGGGCACTGGTAAGGTGGTTTCTCTTTATGTCCCTTCATGTGATACATAAACCTCCTTGGATCTGATGAAGCAAAGAAACAAATTCTGCAGGAAAAACTAAGTGGCACACCCACAGGTATAAAGTCCCTTTCAAGTCTGATGAAAAGGTGATCGTATTTACTTTTCTTGAAGCTAGATCTTTCTTCAGATGCTCTCTGCCTCACCTTTTTCAGCTGTATTCTCCTTTTTCTTGCCTTTTTCAACCCAGTCATTTTATTATGAAATTTAAGGTGATTCTTAAGGTTCAAAGCAGAGAAGAAAGCTCTTTTACAAAAGCAGCATTTATGTCTTTTCTTATCTTTATGAGCTGAAAAAATGTGTTTCTTTAGGTCTGCATTGCGTTCATACACAGAACCACAAAACCTGCACTTGAAAGCACATCTTTCATGCTTATTTATAGAACCAGATGCCTTAGAAAGAGGCTTGATGGTCACACTATTACTCAGGCATGCTAAGCCTTCCTGCTGGCTTTGGAATTCTTTTGGGTTTGCATGAGAAGAAACAACTTTTTGTTGCCGAGAGCTTTTTTTAGAAAATGGTGTTAATGTCTTATAAACATGCTCTCCAGTAGAATTTGATTCAGCAGAAGTGGAAGCATTTATCTCAGGTTTTCCTACATCTTCTAGAGGTTCTTCAGAAGCAGGAGAACATCCGTTAAGAAATGGAACAAAACAATTATAGGTAAATTTCTGTTCTCCTTTCAAGCTATGTTCCGCAAGAGAACTCAGAGTTACATCTTCAAATTCGCTTCTTTTTCCGTTATCAGCTTCATTATCTCCATTCTTTGAAGAATCAGGATCTGTGGGGGGATAGAAAAAGTCACATGTATGATATTTCATACAATCACAAATATTCACTGGTAGCAATAATCGCAAATTGCCAAACGACTTGCTTGCTCTTCACTCTGTTTCCATATTTCCCTGCCTCCGCTTTTTATCCCAATACCTCTCTTCATCTTCCACCTACCCCCAACATTTAAATGTTTCATCAGAAGAAATGCTAATTAGGAGCCTCCTTTTTCCCACTTTCTCTTTTCACTCAAAGCTCTGAATGTCACAGGACAACACTGCAACCCCCACAATATTTAACAAAACAGCTTTATGCCAGAATTCCTATGAAAGTACTATCACCAAACTTTGCTGGGGCTCCGTTCTCAAATATGATGCTTTTTCTGCTTTTTTTAAATTTCAGAACCTTTTCCTTGGTGAAAGACCACCCTTTTGCACACTGCAGTAGAATGCAACAGTACCAACTTCTTGCAGTTTCACTTCATTTCACAGGAGTCTGTGAAAGAACTAAGCATATTCCAGCCAATATTCTTTCTGCTGCATTTGATGTCAATTTAATTTGAAATGCTTACTCTAAAGTAATGGGTTTGATATATTTTCTATACTCTTTCCTATTTCAAAAACTTGATATCTGCCATATTTCTTAAACTCCTGCACTAATCTTATTAACAAGTTACCTTCAGTTTTAACAGCTGCCTCCGTCTCGTTGTGGATTTCTGGTTGTTTCTCTGGATTGTCACCAGAAAGAACACTTGCAACACTGACAAGTTCTTCTTCATGTTTGGGTACCACTGCCAATGTCAACAGTCTGCTTGTCTCAACAGCATGATCTCTGACATTGTCAGCAGAGCAGAGAAGAGGACTCTCCTGAAAGTCATCATCACCATCACAATCTTCTCCAATGCTAGTTCCATTTATCTCTGTAAGTTGTGTTTTGCAAGACCATGTAGGTAACAAATAATTTTGACCACATTCACCTGTATATGCACCACACCCATCACTTAAAGATGATTTTGATGTGTTACACACATGCTCAGCAAAACATTTCTCTTCAGAGTGTTTGATATCATTATCCTTATTTGAGAGAGGCTTGTTTTCTTCCCAACTGCTTACAGAGCTGTCATTTGAAGGTGTCACATCACTTTTTAAGCAAATGCTGTTTAAGTTAAGCTCCTCCTCCACCTCAGGAACTGGTGGAGCATCACCTTGGAGGAAATCCTCATCTCTCAGCAAAATGATGGTGACCGGGAGCACAGCTTCGAACACCTCTGAGTCTGCAGGAAGAAACAGAGACTATTAGAGCTATTTCAAAAAACACTCGAAGCAGCTGCAGTCCAGACAAACACACACAAACACAGAATGGATCAGGTTGGAAGGAGCCACACTGGGTCATCCAGTCCAACCTCCCTGCTCAAGCAGGGCCATCCTAAAGCACATGGCACAGAACTGCATCCAGAAGGTTCCTGAATATCTCCAGTGATTCCATCTTCTTGGCACCGCTCATTCATATACTTGCAAACATTAATGAGGTCCCCTCTCACTTGTCTCTTCTCAAGACTGAACAGGCTCAACTCCTTCAGTCTTTCCTCCTAAGTGAGGTGTCCAAGTCCCTTAATCATCTTTGTTGCCCTCCACTGGACCTTCTCCAGGAGCTCCACGTCCCTCTTCTACTGAGGAGCCCACAATACTTCAGGTGTGGCCTCATGTGGGTGGAGGGGCAGGATCACCTCCTCTAACCTGCTGGCAATACTCTTCTTAATGCATCCCAGGATTCCATTGGCCTTCTTGGCCAAAGAGCACACTGCTGTGATATGGACAGTTTTTTGTCTACCAGGACCCTCAGATCATAGAATCAACTGGGTTGGAAGAGACCTCAAAGATCATCAAGTCCAACCCTACCGTCGCTATGAGACCATATCACTAAGTGCCACATCCAGTCTCATCTGTAAAACCTCCAGGGATGGTGAATCCACCACCTCCCCAGGCAGCCCACTCCAATGCCTGATTACTCTTTCCATAAAAAATCTCTTCCTAATATCCAACCTACGTCCTTCTCCACAAAGCTACTACCCAGCAGCTCAGCACCCAATCTGTACCAGTGTCCTGCTCCGATAATACTTGAGAGCGTTCGATTGATTCCCCCCAGTGTGAATTAAGACAAAAATTTATAGCGGGAATCAAATAGTTAAGGCTAAGAGTAGGATAGAAGATAGTGAAGTAGAGAGCACCTGAATAAACCAAAGGTAAGAGGTTGAGCAATAAGGCATTGTTTTAGTTTATCAAGCATGAAAAGTGTAGAACTTAGGGCATTATTTTAGCTTAGGTAGCGTAAACACAATTTATTTATGAGGAAGTAAAATTAGATGCAACCGGACTCAGGACCTGGTAGCCTAAGAGCAAGACGAAAGAACATGTGCCAAACTCAAAGGTGAAAGGTTCAATCTGATGAAGACTATCGGCCTTCCTCCTGATGACCCCTGGATGACCACCAGAGACCATCGGACTAATGCCAAGTGGGAGGAGACAAAGGAGGAGATTATGATAATGATTTCCAAGAAATAATTGTAATAATTACCACCTATTCTGAGAAATAATGAATATGTATGAGTTTTTCATGTATATAAACCAGAGAAGTGTTATTTTCGATGTACAAGTTTGGTGGAGCGATCCCCCTTGTGCCCAGCGCTGAATACACAAATACTCGCTAGTCAGAAATTCAAGTCTGTGAGTAGTTCTTTTCCAGGTTTCCTTGGCATCAAAATGAGGACAAAATACCGTTAAGGAGTGAGAGTTTCTCATTGGTCACACAAGGGAGAGAAAATAGGTAATAGCGAAATTAGAAACAGGAAAGGGAGATAGAAGTAACCAAGATTTGGTATGTCAAAGCAGAAAAAGTCACCACCATGGATCCACATGATCTGTAGTCATGTAGAATCAGAGATAGTCATCTCTGCAGGTCCAGCAGCATTCTGATGATCCATAGTGGTCTTCTGTTTGGTCACAAGTTTGCACCCTCACTCTGTACTCTAGTCCTTTCTTATAGGGCTCTACCACGGTGCTGATTGGTCAGCTCCCCTTGAGCAGAGGGGTGAGCTCATAGCAATTCCCAGAGAAGCCACTTTGTGAGTGTCCTGAGATTCAGGGCAGATAATGCTGCCACATTATGTGGCCAGCTGGAGGGGATGTGGTGGTTATCTGTTGGCTTTGAGGCAATCAACAACAACTTTCCCCAACAACAAGCCATCGAGGCCAGGTGTTGTGGTTTAACCTCAGCCAGCAGCCAAGAACCATGCAGCCTCTCACACTCCCTCCTCCCCCTTTTTCTCCCCCAACCTGGAGAAATGGGGAGGAGAAAATACAATAAAATATGTAGGTTGAGATAAGAACAATTTAATAATAAAGAGTAGAATGAGCTAAAATGCTAATAAAGTGAAAGGGGAAAAAACCCCAAAAACCAGTGATGCACAATACAATTGCTCACCACCCGTGGACCTGCGCAACCCGATACCTCCCCCTGGATTGGCCCCTTCTTGCTTATATACTGGGCATGATGCTCTGCGGTGTGGAATATCCGTTAGGCTAGTTCAAGTCACCTTTCCCAGCTATGCTGCCTCCCCATTTCTCTTGTGTACCTTCTCACTGGCAGAGCATGAGGCACAACAAAGAAAATGCCCTTGATTTAAGATAAACGCAACCAAGCAGAAACCAAAACATCAGTATGCTATCAACAGTATTTTCACTCTGAATCCAACCACTGCACTGTACCGGCTACCGAGAGGGAAAAATAATTAACTCCATCCCGGCTGAAACCAGCACACCAGGCAATGTCGAAACTAAGAATTTCTTAAAGGTCTCTTACAACCAGTGCTTGGGGTTTTTCCTCCCCAGGTGCAGGACCCTGCACTTGCCCCTGCTAAATTCCGGTTGGTCCTGCTCTGCTCACCTCTCCAACCTGTCGAGGGAGGCACAGCCCCCTGAGCAATCAGCGACTCTTCCCAGTTTTGCATCAGCAAACTTGCTGAGAAGGCAAC